AACTTTAAATAATGAATGTCTTGCACGTCCAATGAGTAATGACCAATGTCCAATACCAAAAATGATGCTGAGCAAACACAGTCTTTCAGCCTATATTAGTAATTGTTATAGAACTTATGACGATGAAACTTATGAGGAATTTTGTAATAAATTTTAAAATTTTAAATATAAATGGAAACATTCTTTTTTCAAATTTCAAATGACCATAAATATTACAAAACTAGTATAAATATTTTGGTTGGAGATTAATAAAATTAAAATATTTTAGTGAAAATGTCATGGATCATTCGTTTTTTAATTGCAACAAAATAAGAAAACCATTAGACAAGAATTCTTTATTTTATGGATGAATTTCAATGTTGAAAACATTTTAACTCACAACGCACATAAAAAGTTAATTTGACTTTCATGTTAACTTTTTTTTTGTTAAGCATAGGAAACTTATGGAGATTCTTGTACTGACATTTCAAATCTTAGATATAAATTGAACAATTTTTGTGTCCAACTTTAACTTTTTAAATTGTTTATTTATAGTTTGAGCCACTTATGAGAAACATTATATTTAAAGACCGGATTTATATGTTTTTACATATCGTTACTGGGTCTATGCAGTCTTATGAGAGTAAAAAATGTGGATTCGTTCAATTCTGAATGCGTAGAAAAAAGTTTTTTTTGCATATTTGAGAATATTTCATGGGTTGGAGAATATTAAACCATTTAGCATATTTTGGAATATTTCGTAAATTGTGTGCAAAAATTTGTATTTATTTTTAATTTTAATATTACGGTACTCTGAAAAATTTTTTTGAAAATTAATTAATCTAATGGTTCATTTAAATTTATTATGCCACTAATCCATGTTTAAAGGACAATTAGTTCACTATTGATTCAATAAATGTGATATTTAACGCCACCCGGCATAAGTATAATAATAATATAGATATGGATTTTATATTATCATTATATAGTATGTAGGTACTTACATTTAAGAAAACCAACATTTATCAAAGACGTGACATTTAAATACGATAATCATAAATGTCATAAAATAGATATGATTAGACATTTAATAACTTAAGGAAACAAAATATAATATTACAAAATTAGCAAAAAATATGCTTTATTGATAAAACGAGTTAGGATGGGAAACCATGATATCATTAATGCTTGATAGGGTCCAAAATCCAAATTTTAGACGGGACGGTCTGTATATTTATGTAATATTTCCTACTTTTATTAAAAGTATTTAGGTACCTACCTAATAACATCAAAATTTCGTAACTAAGGCTCAGAATATTATGCCTTACGTAAACCCTAAAAACGCATCTAAATTTAGCACTTACATTAATTTATCTTCAACAAGTTTTGAACCAAAAAATATTTTTTTATTAAATTTAAAAAAAAAGTTTTACAGAACTGAACAACGTCGAATTGTATTAGGTATCTTATGTACGTTTAATAATTATACATCTACCCATTACTAAAATGAAAAATATTTTGATTTAAACAAATTACAACATTTCGGTAGTTATATAATACATTAATTTAAATATTATAAATTGCACATAATATTGATTTAGTGTTCAATGTTGAAAACATTTTAACTCACAACGCACACAAAAAAAGTTAATTTGACTTTCATGTTAACTTTTTTTTTGTTAATCATAAGTTGAAAAATATTTAAAATAAATATTCACAATTTTTGTCAAGTCAATTTTGACGCAAAACAAAAATATATATATATATAATATACGTATCAGTCAATGTCAACGTAAAAACCTGGTATCTGTATGGCTATATAATATCATAGTTAATCTATATATGGGAGCATATATGGAGCAAATAACAATATATTTCAGTATTTACTTTTAAGGTAATTTTATATCTGCTGCCTATACCAATACATACTCAAACGGCAAACAAGTCACTTGTTTACATTTAAAATATTCTAGTTTTACAAAATTGTAATGAGTATCAAGCACCGTTTGAATAATATTGAGATAATAGGCTCCATATATTACACTATAATAGATGATCCTGTAAATTCTTATTACACATAATAATTAGCAATTGCCATTATTTGGGGGTACTTAACTTTTTATTTTTACCATATTCAATACACATATATATATATTATCAAACCTTTCATCATTAAATGCAATACTAATAATGCATATAGCAATATTGTATTATAATTTATAACATAGGCACATATACATAGGCATATGAGTCATATGACCATCATATAAGGTAATGGTTTCTAAATTATGAAGGTGTGAACAAAATATTATATTTTATATTTTGTGTTGTAGGTATATATTATCATTAAGTCTTTCCTATTATAATTTATCATGTAGGTACCTACAAAATATTAATGGGAATTGCATATGTCACACTTTATATTGGTAATCTCATTACCAGATACCATTTTTTTTTTAAAAAGTGTTATACATTTTTACCAAATTACTAAATTTTTTTAGTAATAATTTTTACCTGATAACTAAATTTTTCAATTATAATTTTTTACCTACTTAATTTTTTAGCAAAAAATTTAATGATTTTCAAAATATGAAAAAGAACAACATTTTTGAGAAACTTGTCAGCCAAGTAACAAACTTCTAGTGGTGTTTCTGGGGTTAGGCTAATAGGCTGAATATTTGACTAAATATTGAAAATAATGTATAATGACCCGGGAATCAACTCGTAGGCAGCCGACAAATTTGTCATGATAATATCAGCTATAGTTTTTATCTTATCTAAGCAGTGAGCACAGCACTGAACTATATAATATTATATAGTTCAGTGGAGCAAAGTGGAAATGTGTAGGGGAAGATGGGGGAATGGCGGTCAGTGGTAATACCCATAGAGTATATAGAGGCGCCCTAATTGAAATAATATGAAGCGGAAATGGAAACAAAACAGTGTAGGCACTATAGAAAATATTTTATTGTATATGAACTATGATACAATATTTATTGTAATTTAATTATATTACTCAATTATATCATATTATTCTATGGTTATATTAACCTTTATTTATAACTATCAATATAATATTAATTATTATAATATTACTGAACTGTACTTGACTTGCACAAATACGTAAATACTATTATAATATGTTATGGGAGGGTAGTAATTTTTGGTGAGGAAATTATCAGTACTATCAATACTTAAATTATTGTAACACACCAGCATCTTAGGTTTGTTCTTAAAATATTTTCTGAGTAGAAAGTATTATAACATATTCAAAATATTAAATTGGTGGGATTTACGAAAAGTTGAAAATTAGCGCTATCTATCAGTTGCGTTGTTAGTTATTGGAAATCAAATCCGACATGTTTTGCTTCACATAATTCATAATATTTATTCTGATAGGGCATCTCTATATACTCTATGGTAATACCGGTCAGTGGCATATCTCATGAAATATGATAGATAAAATTTAGATTTTCACGTTATTTGATAAGTGTTGTTATCAAAACCTAATATCTGACATCTCAAAATGATAAACAAAATTTTTCCCACCAAAAATTTGTTGTCAATTTCATTATCACTTTCGTTCTAATATTTTTGAAAATTGACAATCGTCTGGAGTTAAGTGTCTTAATATTTTTTCCTACATAAATGGTTATATTTACATCTAAATATTATGAGGATGGCAATTATGTGCTCATAATTCACTTACATAGTATAATTTTTAAGTAAATACATGTATTTCAAAAAAACTGTGAAATGGGTATTACCGGCCAAATGTGATGGGGTAATGGCGATCCCTTTTTAGTACCTAAGATATATTTTATTATATTTATCACATTTATAAATACAAAAAACAAACATATCTAATACACTTAAGTAATTCTTAATATTGATAATTATCTCTGTACTGACAACAAGTTAATTTGCTCATTATTTGTATGATTTTTAGAAATTTATATTTGTCCTATAAGTATCTATACATTTACATGTATTTTTATGTAACTGGTATTACCCCACTATAAGGGTAATGCCGGTCATTTGCGTTTTTTAAAAAAATGAAAATAAAAAATATTACACTTAATATTAACAATTTGAAACTTATATATGTAGTAGCTAACAACTTTATAGTTCTAATGTAATTGACAGTAAAATATTTGGATTTTTATTACCGGAGATACAAGTGCTCCCGCTTAGGTGGCCGCCATTCCCCATCTTCCCCTAATCACTGTAATCACATAATCATCACAAAAACCGTGTCTAAATAAACTTTATATTTTAGGCAGTGTTAACATACTAGCTATTTTACAGCTAGTTCTAACATTTTTCAGGTGTCATCTAGCTTTCAAAAATGTCATTATGCAGGTGGCATTAAATATAGCATTTATAATGTGTTTAAAGCATTTCAGAATATTTTTTTTTTTTGTTTACCAAAAACCACTGATATCACATCTTTCTGCTATCACATTTCTGATTTTTTCAATTGATTGTTCATTATTTGATATTTGAATAATTTCGTTTTGAAATTAGTCAAGATAGACTGACTGGATTATTATTTATTTATCTAATAAAAATGATAGTATTTATATATTATTATATCTGTTTTTAATTATTTTAATTGCATGCAAATGGTAATTTCAACTATTTCTATAACGGTGCCAATTTCCTAACAAATTATATAATTTGTACTTTATCATAATTTTTTTGATTTGTAAATTATAACACTGAGCTTGTGCAATTTTTTCTCCTTTTTAGCTTCTTCTAGCATATTTGGAAGGGGAAAAATAAATAGCATAAACTAACTTTTTTTTGATAATATGGTATTTGCATATTTTAGGTTTTATTTTATGGCAACACTGATTTTAGGCAGACAACAACAACATTTTTGTTCCAACAACACTAGTCGACAGAAGAAGATTTTTCGATTTCGATTCCATCCACTGCAATAAAATGCTATGAAACACTTCCTTCTGCCGTGTTGAAAACAATAATTACTTCGTACAAGACGAACATAGAAAAAAACAATGGCCACTCCGGAATCAAAAAGAATAAGGTAAATGTCAGTTGCAAAGACAATTGCAGAGTTTATAATATTATAATTGTATCTTAGGGCCGTTCTTAAAACGTCCGGTTAAAGTTAACCGACACTTAACCGGCCTAATTCTGCAGGTAATAAAATCTGTTGTCAGTCGGATAGCATTAACCGACACTTTACCGGACATAGTAAGAACAGCCCTTCATGTATTTTAGTTGTACCTCTTGATTATAGTTATACTCACAATTTATCAGACTTGTTTTAACTGTATGAAGGTTTATAATTCAATTTTAGGTACCTACATTTGGTTCTATGAGTTATTATTATATTTAAAATGTGTCAACATACAACATGTTATTACAAATTTGTATAGTTATTATTTTAGTACATAGAAAATTAAAACAAATATTTAATATATATATATATATATATATATTATTTTGTTATGATAGGTATTAAAATAATTATAAGATTTTTGATGCGAAGAAAATAGATAAATAATAATTATATATTACCTTTCTGGCTATCTGTTAATATCATGTTTACCAAGTATATTTCATCAAAATTATTAACACTACAAAAACTTAATTATTTTGATTTTTAACTATTGGTTATTTTACCATGGTTTTAGACTTTCTCCTCAAGACTTACAAAATACAGCAAATGCCAATGAAGAAGTAGAAACTAATGTAATACTAAAAATTCCAAACGGTTTATATTACAAGAATTTTGATAAAATGAGAAAGTAATTTTTTATACTTAATTTTATAATAATAAATATATTCATATGTGTTGTTTTGATTTTACTAATTACATTTTTCAACTGTAGGAATGAACAATTATGTGATATAAAAATCATTGCCAAAAATGGTGAAGAAATAAGGGCTCATAAAGTTGTTTTGGCAGCCAACAGCAAATATTTTAATATTATGTTTAATAGTCAATTTAAAGAATCCAAAGAATTTGAAATCCAGATTCAGGATTTAGATCCACATGCATTGAGTTTGTTAATAGACTTTATTTATACATCTGAGTTAGCTGTAAATGTACAAAATGTCCAAGTAAATTAATATTTAACTTTTAATTTATAAATATAATTTAATATACATTGTTTTTTTTTTCAAACGTCTTTTAGGAAATTTTAAATGGAATCTGTTTGTTACAATTGGACGAAACAATTCGCAGTGAATGCATTGATTATATTAAATCAAGAATTGATCCCGCCAATTGTTTAGGTATGAAAGAAATGGCTGAACGCCTTGGATTAAGAGATTTTTATACGTTCTCTTTAAGTTATGCTTTAGTTCACTTTAGGTAAGTGTACTAAATATTCAAGTTTTTAAAACAATTTTTTTAAATCCTTTGTCAACACTCAAATTTAGTCTAAATAATTTGAAATTAACATTGAGTATAGAAAATGTTAATTGAAGTAACAGTAGAATGTTTCAAACATTTTTCATAAGAAAAAACACACACATACACCATTGTAAAGTCGATACTCCACTCAGTCTAAAATGATATTAAATTTTAACTACTATAAAATTAGCAAATTTTCGCTATTTTGAAGAATTTTGTCAAAATTCAACCTTCAAAACACACAAAATGACTGTAGATTTACACTCAACTTTTATTTTATTTTCTTAATAATTTATGAGAAACCATGTATTACATTTTCAAGCTTTTTAACCTAGCATACATTTTTTTATCAATATTTCATACCTTAGGTTAAGACTTCTACAACTCATAACTTGATAGAAAAACATTTTAAATTTCAATAAATAGCTCAAAAAGAGTCAACATAATTATTCCATATGCAAAATCCAAATGCAAATTTAAATATTTATTGAAGTTCCAAAGTATTTATGATTATTTGTTTTTGAATTACAGCAAAATAACAAAATCAATTTTTTCAAAAACTAGGACCATTAAATAAAAGTTCACATTTTCCCTATGATTTATTTTTCTTGAATAATTAAGAAAGGTACTGTACATTTTTTGCTTTGGACTTTTCAATTTCAACTCAATAACCTTCATGTTGTTTTTTATTTTATTTAGTTCTAACTTAATTTTTTAATTTTTAATTACTGTTACTTACGTCTTCACAAGTATTTAAAAATATTTTATAAAACTTTTCTTATAAATGTACAGCATTATCTATAAACTTCTTTATCTACAATCATTTTACAGTCAAGTATACAAAAAAGAAGAATTTCTGCTGATTACTTTTGATCAAATATTACAAATCATTAATAGTGAAGATCTGTGTGCAAATGAAGAAAACGTAAGTACATTATTTTATTATTGTGTATTTTAACTGAACATTTTCCTTTATTTAAATTTTTAAATTGTGTGATTGTAGTAAACATGATGTATACAATTTTATATTATAGATCAATAAATAATTACATAGTTATGACAACAATAAATAATGTTCAAATTATTAATAGGTATATGAATCTGTAATGAAATGGATCAAGTATGATATAGAAAATCGGAATAAACATTTGCCAGACTTAATGGAATATGTTCGGTTACCAATTGTGTCCCAGAAATTTTTTGAGTGCACGGTTGACAAAGAACCACTTTTGAAGTCAAATAACAATTGTAACTATATAATATTTGTATGCTTGATGTTTTTATTTCTTAAAATGTATTATGTTGATAGGTATAAAATATTTAGATAAAGCTTATGCTGGCCATACAGTCTTTGGTACTGCGTTAGAAGCACCGCATTCTATTCGTACTCAATATCGTCAAAATTATACAGAAGTAAAAATTTTAGTTTGGATTATTATTATTTAGAAAATTATTAATTATTATGTATAGTATATTGTATATACCATATACATATATAATACAGTTAGATGTAATAACATAATTTACAAATAATAGATACAATAGTACCTAATATTTGATTATTTTAGTAGTTTATTATGAATTTTTTATAAATTGATAGAATAATATACCATAGTGTAAAGAAATAAACAATAGACTAATTTTACTTGTTACAGTATGTTGTAATTATGGGCAAAAGAGCCGAACATCATCTTCCTCTTTTGTTCAACATAAACACAAATCAGTGCAGAACCATACCAACAATTGTACCACTAAATAGAAAAGGTGAAACTTATTTACTTGATGATGGTCGCTTATTCGATCTTGGTGGTATTGAGAGGAATGAAGATTGTTTCCTTAAATCTGCTCATATTTTTGACGCAAACACAAAAAATTGGACACCAATTCAACAAATGCATAAAAGTCATTCTAAATCAAATATTGTACAGATTGGTTGTCGTATTTTTGTGGTACAGTAAATTACAAATTGATTCTTATTACTATATTGAATATGATATTTTATAATTATCTATTTATTTATTTGCAGATAGATTCTTATGATAGTGAATACTATAATATTAAACGTGATAAATGGTTTAAAATAAATTCTTTAAATAATAAATATCGAATTGATTATGCAGTTATTGCTCTCAATGGATTTGTATATGCTGTAAGTTGATGATTATAATATATATATTATGTGAGTGTAAGTGTGTCACATTAATTTAAGTTACATGTATATTTTGTGAAACAGAACTTTATATTTTAAACAACGTGAATAATAATCATTCATGAATAGAAATGTATATTCTAACATCATTTAAATTATAATGTCTAAACACACTAAATAAAACAACAATCTATCAAAATTATATCAAAAGTAATTCCACTTGAGACAATCTGCATTGTTTTGTTTTCTAATTTTTAGAGAGGTTTTATTAATTTTGTAAATTTTTAGGTTGGAGGATATTTTGAAGGTTGTGAAGTTAAGTCCGTAGAGCAGTTTGACCCGAAAGCTAATATTTGGAAAAATGTAGCACCAATGTTACATGGCCGAGTTGCCCCGGCCCTTTGTGCATTGAATGGTTGTATGTATGCTATAGGAGGAAAAGAATTTATTGGTAATCGTAGTTTGTCTCTGGTGGAAAAATACGATCCATCAACTGACTCTTGGGAAGAAGTAACAAAGTTAAACCATGCTAGGTCCCATGCAGGTAAGTTAATATCTTGTTGAAATAAACTTAAGTATAAAGCTATGTAAATCATGCAATAGGTGCTGTGGCTGTGAATGGAAAAATTTATGTGTTTGGAGGTTTTCACAGCAATTTCACAATCGAAGTGTTTTGTCCTTACAAAAAGACATGGTCAGTTTTGCCAACAACAGTACTGAGCTCTCTCAAAATGTATGGTGCTTGCAATGCGTTCAATGTCAAACTACACCTTAAAAGTGAAATTTTTAAGTTAATTGATTGATTAAATTGTTTAATATTAAACTATATTTTTATAACTATTAAATCTAACCATATATTTTAAAAACATTATAATATATATGTACTTTGTTTTTTTACTTTTGTAAATTCAAAATTATATTTTATTTATAAATACGGGACAAGCCCAAAAAACAATGAGGTTATTAAAATGTTTAATGAATAATGATTAACAGATTGGTTGATACAAAATACACAAATGAACATATATTAAAAAACTAGTTATGAGATGAAAAATCTGGGTTAATTGTTTGCGGTGTGGATAAGGTGGATTGGTGAATGGTCAAAATAGTTTGTCGGAGAAATTGTGTTGAAGCGAGAAGTCACATTATTTATATAGCCCTGTAGAAGTGTTGGAGTCAGTTTCTACATATAAAGGTTGGAAACGAATCCAAGATTTGTCACATGTCTGCAAACAACAAGATTTCAGAGTTTGAGAAAATCTTGAGCAAAGATGTAGTTCTGTGGTAACAAGGGATATTAAGTCTAGACGGAATCGTCTCTGAACTCTTTCAACCCTATTACAGGTGTGTATCAGAGGAAAGGACATACAAGTGACAAGTGTGAAATATAGAGCCATGATAGGTTCTAAAAGTTTGAATTCACGAGATGTGGTAAGCCTAATTGTTTAAATGCCTTACAACATGTCACCTCAATGTGAGTTTGAGTGTGAGGGTAAATCTCATATCATATTTAAAGTCTTTGGAGGCAGTAATAGTAGGTAGTGCTATTAATTTTTTAGGTAAAGATTAGTACATTAAATAGTTACAGGTGGGTGAAATTCATTGTAATTATGTAGGGCAGCGATGCCCAACCTTTTTAGTTGTGCAAACCACCAATTATAAAAAGTGAAACACTTTGAGGACCACTTATTACAGGTATAAAATACAATGCCGCGGGGTGGTGATGGGTGATCTCAATAGTACGAGATGGTCAGATGGAACGGCACAACGCCAGGTCGTATAGATATAACCAGCACGCGAAATCGAGATTGGTGGGCCGGAAGCCTGGTCGCGAATAGGATTATTTATTATTATTAACGACCGCATTTGAACAACGGAATCATCGACAGCCGAGTGCTGACGGGTAATTTGGATAAACATGTCTAGGCGGCAGGCATAGAATAAGAATGGTACTAGCCAGTAGCCACTATTATAGGTACTTATGGACGAAAATTATTTTTATTATTAAGTAGGTATCATCGTTGTTAAATATTATTCTTGTTGTTAAATCTCCGGCGGTGGACATATAGGCGCGACGATAATATTCTTTATCGTTATTTTAATGTATATTGTTTTATTTGATATAACTACGCATTGACTCAGTTATTTATTATTATGTCTATGAAAATATTCTCCCACGAAACTTGCACTGTACCTACCTATATAGGAGATAATACAAGAGCGGAGAGGCCATTGAACATGGCGTGATTCTAGAAAATTAAACCGCGTTATTATAATATAATTTTATTATATATCAACATGCGCGCTCGTTACCCCAGCCGGTGGTTGATCCATCATCAGATGAATGAATAATACCTACATAATATTATTATATCGAGATTGTCGACCGACGAACTTATATTACGATAACGTAAGATTATATATTACAGTGTAAAGAACCGACGTATAATTTGAATTATACACTGATGAATTAAGAAGTAAGTTGGATAAATACGACTATTACAGTTATTTAAAAATAAATAATTTCATAGTTATTTACTTAGGACACCAAGTAGGTAGGTACTATAGTAATATATTATTATCTAAGGTTATACATTACTTTTATTATATGGAATCGAAAACAACCTGTATAATATTTAAAATTGTAACTACCTACCATAGATAGTACTAAAAATTATCATAAATTGTCTAATGAAATGAAAAAAAACATTTCTGGAAAGCGACATTAGTCGGTGACCTGCAACAACCTGGAATGTAAAAATCTAGAATTTAAAACCTGGCAGTAGATACCCCTATATAATTAGGTGATAAAATACTGAGGACGAGCGATGACGACATATTATCTCAGTTATATCAAACATGTTACCTAGTGTATTGATATCTTCCATGCAGGAAAAAAAATATTTAAAATTGTAATGACTACAATGGCTAAGATAAGTACATAATAAACTTAATTAAAAATTTTTTATTAGTTGCTATTTGCTATAAGAAATGCTATTATAGCTCAACGAATAATATTATAATATATTATTGAATAATAATATACAATTTTGAACAAAGATAACAATAAGGCGATCAGATTAAATAAATTAAAGAATTATAACATCTGATAATGAAGATAATTTTGTGGAAACATAAATGAAAATATATTATTCATAATAATTAATAAGTAATATAAGAGACATTAACTTTGGCGTTAGGACTAAAGAGAGATAGGGACTGGTGATTGAATTAAAATTAAAAAAAATTATATATTTTGTGATATTGTGAGCAAACATTCTCGTAGAATATTATTAATGGCAGTATATAGTTGAATTTTTAAAAAAAAATACGCGTTTTAGGTACCAATGTATAGAGTTTACCTCGACGTTTTAGCAGACCAACTTCTTGTTTGTATAGGTATTATATCCTATATTATGTGTAAAATCAGGCGCGGATCTGAGGGGGGGGCTAAGGGTCTTTAGCCCCCCCTTTGGCCATATTTTAAGTTATATGAAATGAAATCACTATAAAAAATGTACAGTATTTTACAGTAAAATACACCGCGAATGTCTAATATTTTAACCAAAGTCTTTCTAAAACGCAATTTATTACCATTAAAATAATTTATGACACATTTCTAAGGCTGATATTATATTATATTAAAAATTGTGCCGGATCAAGATGTGGAGCAGTCGACTACTAACGAGTGGCCGATCGGAGCCGATATTTCAAATTATTTTCCAAATTTTATCGTGAATAGAAAATGCTTATATAAACATTCGGTGAAATTGTATAGTAACTACAGTCATTCGATTTTAATTACAACAAAATAAGAAAATCGTTACATGAAAAATCGAGTGAATATCAAATGTTGTAAAAATATGAATTTCAAACGTTCATAAAAATCGAATTTGACTTTATTGTAGGTTAATTTATGACATATGCCGACCCGTCACAGATTCGCTCGTGATTGTTTTTTTATTTTGCTTTCGGACGATGATATGTATAATTAAATAATTTTTTATTCAAATGTTATCGTTTAATGTGATAGGCAAGTAAATATATACCTAAAACGTATTGAAATGTCTCTAGTGGTATTAATGATAAATATATTTTTATTGAAAATAGCTGATTCCGTGCACTTCGTTGCCTGTTAAATGTACCAATTCTATATGACTCAAACTTTGTGTATGGAGTTCAAAACTTAACTAAACTTTTCCGTTAAAAATAAAATTTTTGATTATTATCAGTTTATTAGCAGGTAGGCAATCTACCTGCGGTAGATCGGTAACCGTGCTTTTTGTACGTAAGTGTATGATTTAGCTCTAGAGTATCAAAGTTATACGAAGTTTGTCGTTTTTACAGGGCTTGAAACCGGTATTGAAATCGGTTTCATATACCGATTAAAACCCTTACAAAATTGAAATCGAAATTGAAATCAAAATTGAAACCGTAAAATGTTGATAACGGTATTATAAATAATAAAAGAAACGAATAAAAGTTGAAAACCGTTTTGAAAATTGAAATCAATACCAGAAAAAAATAGATAACGGTATAAGTAAACGAAATCAAAACAGAAAAAAATATATTCATTATTGTAAATGCTATTATAAATTGAGGGGCGACATTCCATAATGTACTATTGCCACTTTTCATAATGTTCAGGAATCACGATTTTCTATTGTATACTGTTGTTAAACAGTAGAAAAAAGGTAAAATATGTTAAAAATTCAGAAAAATATACTTATTATACTTCTCAAGTCAAAATTACCTTAATATTATTATTTTACTATTTTAATTGATAATTTTAAATGTTGGTTGCGCCATAGTGTACTATTTCCATCCAATAGTACACTTTGACTTACTTAAGAATTTAGAGAATAGTGAACCAAGTTTTTCCAAAATGTACCTACTTATTCCATAATTTCCTACAGATGTTGAATAGTCAAATAGACCCAATGGCCAAAATTAAGTAGCCTTTTTTTGAATAAAGTATGATGGATGAAAACAGTTAAGTTGTAAAGTTTGTATTCAAACATATTATTGCCAATACAAATATTTTACAGTTTTTGGATAGCATGGTACCAAATAACTAATAAATAATAACCTTAATGATAAAACAAACTTTTTTTTTTTACAATATTCCTTGTGAATCAGAATCTATGAATTCATTAATAAAGGTAAAAGGAGAAATTACTAAAATAAAACAAATAAAATAATTTAACAATATTAGATATTATCTTTATCTGTTTAAAATAAAATAAAATCAATACATTAAAAATGTTAAAAATAAAAAAAACTATTTAGCCTCATTAATAATAGTAATGTAGTATAAAGTATAACAAATAAAATAAAATTAATAAACAATATCAAATAGGTATTACCCTATACCTATTTAAAATTACAAGTACGAGTTAAGGTAGTTTAACCAAATAAAATGAATATAATTAAAATGTAACAAAAAAAAAAAAAATAAAAATTTGCCTCATTTATAATAATATAATAGTAAATAAAATAATAGATTTATCTTTATCTGTTTAAAATAAAATAAAACCAATACATTAAAATTTAAAATAAAAAACAATTTAGCCTTAATAATGTTAAAAATAAAAAATTTAGCCTCATTAATAATAGTAGTATTAAAGTATAACAAATAAAATAAAATTAATAAACAATATCAAATAGGTATTACCCTATACCTATTTAAAATACTAAGTACGAGTTAAGGTATTTTAACCAAATAAATGAATATAATTTATTAAAATATAACAAAAAAAAAAAAAAAAAAATGTTGCCTTATTTATAATAATAAAATATTAAA